TGTGTGTGTGTGTGTGTGTGTGTGTGTGTGTGTGTGTGTGTGTGTGTGTATCTGCGCCAATTACTGTAGAAAACAGTCATTGGTCTGCGCATATATACATATATGTAAAATAGGCATAGTGTTGAAGTTCCGGTAAGTGAGAGTGAGGTGCCTATGAAGTGTTACTGTTCAGCAGTCTGGTGGCCTGATGGAAGAAGCTGTCCCTCAGTCTCCTAGTTTGGGCCCAGATATTGCAGTACCTCCATCAGGCAGATGGAGGTAGTTTGAACAGTTTATGACTGGGGTGGGTGGAGTCTTTGATCATCCTTGCACTGCTTCCTGTAGATGTCCTGGAGGGAGGACAGCTCACCTCCAATTATCCTTTCAGCACACCGCACCACTCGCTGGAGAGCTTTGTGGTTGTAAGCGGTGCTGTTGCCACACCACGCGGTGATGCATCCAGTGAGGATGCTGTCAATGGCACCGGGGTAGAAGGTCCTGAGGATGCGGGGGCTCATGGCAAATCTCTTCAGTCTCCTGAGAAAGAGTCACTTCACTGTTTTGATGTTTGAACTGACCATGTGAGATCCTCCACCAGATGTACATACACCTAGGAAACGGAAGCTGCTCACTCTCTCCACAGCAGCACCGTTGATGGTGATGGAGGTACGTGCTTCTCTACACCTCCGGAAGTCCACTATCAACTCCTTTGTCTTTATGACGTTGAGGGTGAGATGGTTCTCTTGGCACCAGTGCGTCAGGGTGCTGACCTCCTCTCTGTGAGCCGTCTCATCACCTTTGGTGATAAGACCCACCACTGTTGTGTCGTCCGCAAACTTCACAATGATGTTGGAGTTGCTAGTGGCCGTGCAGTCATAGGTGTAGAGTGAGTACAGGAGAGGGCTCAGTGCACACCACTGTGGAGCACCAGTGTTCATTATGAAGGGGGATGAGGTGATGCTGCCCAGTCTGACCACTTGGTGTCTGTCAGACAGGAAGTTGAGGATCCAGCTGCAGAGAGAGCTGCTCAGTCCTAGATCCTGCAGTTTCCTTCAAGGGAACGATGGTATTGAATGCTGAGCTCTAATCTACAAACAGCCTCCTCACATATGTGTCTCTCTTCTCCAGGTGCGAGAGGGCAGTATGTAGTGTCGGGGCTATGGCATCATCAGATTTGGTCTATTTGGGATGTTTCTTGGGCCAATATTAGTGTAAGTATCTATCTAAATAATCTATCAAAATAATTCACATGTTCAGTACTAGAAGTTCCAGATGTGTGAATGTTGTAGCCACTGTTGAAAGTTCAGCAACAGTAAACTGTGTTGTGAAATGGAGACATTTATCTGAGCTACAGGACTCACATTCTCTGCTTTTACATACAAAGATGCCCTAAGGGAAAAAAGACAATACTCTAAATCCAGCAGCAACATTTAAATTCAGCACATTAATGAAAAAAATGAATAGAAATAATCAAGCAATTATAAAATATATTAGTGGAAGGGTTAAATTTGCCCTTTTCACCAGTTAAGGTCTTGGATTTGGAATGAAAAAATGTGTGAATTGAAAAGAGCGTTTCCTTCATTAATATCTCTGGATGTTCGGTTGCAAAGTAACGTCCTCCTCAGAAAAACAGAGACAGCAAAATAAAGTGAATGAAGGAGGATAACAAAATAAAAACAAATTAGGTGTGGGTTACAACAAAAATGCAATTAGAATTAGAATTGTACTGCAGCAAACCACACCACGTTAATGTTATGGGAGAAAACCGAACTATATCATTCATGGAAATATGCATCCATGGAGCATATTCAGCCAATCACTGTGAAAACATCAGATTCAGCTGTAATATTATTGTTATGTATTATACATAACGTGCGTCCTCTAAGACCATGAAAATGGTTCTTTGCTAATCGCATGTATCATACTTATGGCACGTATTTGTAATTATAAAACACTTGTGTGGATACAGTGTTATGCAGCCTAATTCTCTTAATATTCATTTATTCTGACTCAAAATGGTCAGCAATGAAGGAGCTGTGAGTATTGGAAGCTGGGGAGGCTAATCCATGACTGATAATATTCCACTGTGCATTTTGTTCTCTCCAAGTATTGAGAGTGAGTATTAAAGTACTTACTGTTTTCCTTTCAGATTTAAAGTATGTGAGATTTGCATAGGTTGGCTCAGGGTGATGCTTTCTTTTTACAACCAGGACAGGAGAGAGAACAGGAGGAGAGTGCAGCTCTGATTAAGAGTGCAGCAGACTGATGAGACACCAGGAGAGCAGGAAAGGGGAAGAAGAGGAGAACAGATAAGACAGAGATGACACAGTTTAATTATAACACCGTAAAAGCAGGAGCTGTGAGACAGTTTGACCTGATTTTACTATCAAATATACTAAACATCTTTAAAAAGGTACTTTTATCAAGTGAAAATCCAAACAATTACAGGGCTGGGCTAAGCTGCCAGTGTTTCAAGAGTAACGCCCCCTGATGACATCATTCCAAACATTACTGTAAATGATGGTGCCTGTAACTGTCCTCTGCCTACAAAACCGTGGGTTTAATTAGAAACATTAGAAAATAAAACAACAGGGTTTTTTTTTTTCTATTTCCAAAATGATAGAATCTGTGTTTCACCATTTCACAGGGCAGTGTCTCCGGCACTCCTGGAACAGCTGCGAGTGGACATCAGACAAATCTGTTCAGACAACCCAACTGCTCTCAGCGCGTCACACCCAGAGAACACAGTTATAACTGCCCTCCAACATACTCTTCAGCCACCAGGAGGAGCCTCCTGACCTTCACTGCACATTCAAAGTTGTCACCATATGCTCCTTCTGTGCAGATGGGTTTAGGGAGATGCTCACACACACACACACACACACACACACACACACACACACACACA